CTGGATGTGGTGGCTCATGCTTGTAATCCTAGCACTATGGGAGGCCAAGGTGGGTGGATTTCCTGAACTCACAGGTTCAAGACCAGCCTGAGCAAGAGCAAGATCCCCATCTCTACTTAAAAAAATTAGCTGGGCATTGTAGCAGGCACCTATAGTCCCAACTACTTGGGAGGCTGAGGCAGGAGGATCACTTGAACCCAGGAGTTTGAGGTTACTGTAAGCTAGGCAGATGCCATGGCATTCTGACCCAGGGGACAGAGTGAGACTCTTTCTCAAAAAAAAGTAACAAAACAGAATTTTATAAACGGGACTAAGAGATGTGAAGTCTTTTCCAAGTGTGAAATTCCATTTACATGTGAGAAAATGATCACTTTTGTAGGAATAAAGACTAGGCCTCAAAATATTATCTCTGATTTACCAACAAATACAGAGAAGACTTCCATAAACACATGGATAACATTCTTATTTTTCTTAGCCTGTACATAGCCTTACAATCACATTAAAGGTGGTGTTGGGGTCTGGCCCAAATAAGGAAATGCCACAATCTCTTCTATTCATGCCCTTTCTACAGCTTTCAAGTTGATGTTTTACTCAAACCATAAGGCCAATCTAACCAATATAAGATCAGCTAACCCACTCCCCCAAACACCCAGGTGGAGAGTAACCTGGTACCTTTGCTAGTTATCTATGACTCTATGGAGATGTCTCCCCTTCCTCACCCTCCATATCCAAAATATCATCAACTTCTGGCAATTTTGTCTATCCAGTACACCTCAAAATCCAATTTTCTCCCTCTTAACTGCAATCATCCCAGTCCAAGACATCATCATTTCTCCCTGGAGTCTAACAGCCTCCTCACTGGTCTCCCAGTTTCTACTCCTCCCACCCTCTACTATATGTTCTTCACACACAGGCAGAATAAACTAAAAATGCAAATCTAGTCATATTATTCCCCTCCTTACTTTTGTCCAACCTTTTTTCTTTTCTTTCTTTCTTTCTTTTTTTTTTTTTTGAGACAGAATCTCACTATGTTGCCCTTGGTACAGTGCTGAGGCATCACAGCTCACAGCAACCACAGACTCTTGGGCTTAAGCAATTCTCTTGCCTCAGCCTCCCAAGTATCTGGGACTACAAGTGCCCGCCACAATGCTCGGCTATTTTGTTGTTGTTGTCATTGTTGTTTGGCAGCCCCTGTGTATGTGGCCGCTGCCCTGGCCACTGAGCTACAGACACGGAGCCCTTTTTTCTTTTCTGCTGCACATTGGAAGAATAAGAGTTGTCTTGGGCCACACATTAAATACAAAAACCCTAATGAAAGGTGATGGACAACAAAAAAGGTCCGTGCATACTTTTTCAATATCTAACACCACACATAAACAAAACAGTCCTCAAATAATCTAGATGAGGCCTGTGGGCCGAAGATTGGACACCCCTACAAGTTTGAGATGTACTTTGCTTATAATAAAAACCAAAATCCTTATCATGGCCTACCAGGCTAGCCTGATCTGGAGTCCCACACTCCTTTAAGTTTCTCTTGTTCCAGTCTCATAAGCTTTTCCGTTCCAAAAGACTTTCTGGCCTGACAGCCTTTGTGAGTAGTTTTTGTAGTTCTGAATGTGCTTTTTCGGGTTATTGCATAGGCAATGGATCTTAGCTCATTTTTCCAGTTACAATTCAAATTTCCATTAGTTATGAATTGTTACATCTACCCCACTAAAAAGTCAGAAAAGCAGTACCCAGCACACAGCTGGCTCTCGATAGTATTTGTTGAATGAATAAATGAATGAACGCAATCCAGCTATTCCAAGGACAGACTGCTAAGGGCTCTCTAAGTGAGGACAGGCACCTGTAGTGAGGACGTGATTCCTTTCCTAATGCAGCTAAGTTGTGGTTCTCTTGGTTCTTGATTTATTACAAGTGGTAACAAGTCGAGATACTAAATTTTCCCACGCCCGAGGGGGCCACCACTCCTCTTCCCTGAAGACAGCAGCTAAGCCCCTTGTCCTCCCACGCGCGGCCAGGGTCGCAGCGCCTCCACGTCAGCCTGGTGCTCACACCTGTGGCCACGCCCTCCGGTGCCCGGGACTCACGGTCTCAGCTCTTTACGTGGCACTCCCGCCCGCTACTTCGCTAGGCCTGCAGCCGCGCGATTCCCACCCCTCGTACCCGAGACCTAATACCACCCCAGAATCTTCTAGTAGTGCCTGCTACAATGCCCAGAATCTTCTGCATTATTCGGACTCCCAGTTAAATCTGAGTCCGAATGCGGACTCACCCGTCCTCCCACGACGGCGCCCGGCCGACAGGCACAGTGCTAGTTAGCTTGAGTGACTCTAGGGGGGTCCTTCAGGCGTTCGGCCGGGCAGCCCGACTTGGGGTCCTCGCAAGATTTGGTAGCTGCAGGGAGGACTCGGGCGGAGTCGGGAGTGGTGTGAGGTGGTGTGTGAGGAGCTTCATAGGGCCGGCACTCTGCTTGGCCGGGGTTAGATGTGCGGGCAGTTTGCTGCTGGAGGGCTGACCTTCCTTCTAATGGCGCTTCTCTCTCTCTAGCACTTGCCCAGGACTGGCAAGTCGGAGGACGAAGCCGTCTTGGGCGGCGGGACTGAGCTTGTGGGAACAGCCCCTCCTAGGCCGGCCTGGGAGCTGTCGGGCGGAGGGAGTGTTAGGCCAGGGTGCTGGCGCGGCCCTGCCCCAGGAGGCTGAACTGAAAGAGGACAGGATAGGTTCAGGGCAGCAGCCTGGCAGTGGGCAATGCCCACCAGCGAGGACACCGGCCTGGACCTTGCCCGACTCGTTATTTTCTCTGTCTATTATACTGCCTGGCACATGATTGATGCCCAGTATTTATTAAAAGTATGCAGAGGGCAAAGGTCTTGGGCGCTCAATCGCGAGGGCACAGCCAGTCGTGGAAAGTCTTTAGGCTCAGAGCGATACAGCTAATACATGAGAAGGGTTGCTGAACGATGATCCTTGACTGGAGCCCAGGTGTATATAGAGCATGAAGGAAGCTAGTCTAGGAATTTGGGCAGCAGAGTGCGAGGTGGGTTACCCTGAAGTCTACTAAAGCGGTCGAGGGTGAGGAGATGAGAACTAGAGTTATTCTAAGTGTGTCGTGTGATGTGTGGAGAGGATGGTGACGGAATGGAGTGAAGTCAGTTGTGGCTGGGTGGCTCGACACCTGGTGACAGGTTTAATAAAGGTGGTAGGCAGGGTATGGTGACTCACTTCCGTAATTCTAGCACTCTGGGAGGCTAGCGTGGGTGGATTGCCTGAGCCAGAGCAAGACCCCATCTCTACCAAAAATAGAAAAATTAAACAGGTGTGGATGGCACCTGTAGTCACAGTCACTTGGAAGGCAGGGGCAGGAGGAGCGCTTAAACTTAGGAGTTTGAAGTTGCTGTGAGCTATGATGCCATGGCATTCTACCCAGGTGAGAAAATAAGACTCTGTCTCAATAAATTAAATAAATAAATATAAGTGGCAAAAATGTCTTCACTCAGGAGGGAATCACTGAGATTGAGAAGAGTGAAAATAAACAGTAACTGTTACCAATCTAAAGACTTAACTTGCTCATTTAACTGACTTCGGTGTCTGCATACACTGGTGTGCACTCCTATATATGCAGGAATATTGGAAGGGGTGTGTGTGGTGCTGGCAGCTTGTTTGCATGGGTGTCTTTCTCAGGAGAATCCATTTCTCACCTGACTGGTTAGTGAAGGCATTTGCCCATTTCTGCTCTCACAGCATGAGAGACTGAACATGTGCCACTGTAGGGAGTATGTAGAGAGAAAACAGGACCAAAGACCAATTCTTCCCTTGTTAAATAATAATTTTAAAACATTACTTGTGTACAAGGGAGAATAGTAATAGATTGATTTCATCTAGCAGAAGCAAAAATAAGATTTATGTAAGAGAAAGAGTAAAAAGGGATAAAGGAAAACCTGCAGATGGTTTGTGCCTTTTGTTTTCCTTGGGTAAGCTGCTGATTAGGCGGCAGCCAAAGAAGAAGCTGCTTCTGGACAGATACTATCTGTCAGTATCCTTTGTGAGTATGAAACCGTGTATATAGAATAATGTAGAGTCATAAGGTCTAAATGGTAATCCAAGTCTGATTTTTATGAAAGTATAGATAAAACCAGAAATTAACTAGCCATTGTTCCCTAACTTCCTTACTACTGTAATAGGTTACTGCTTAAAGGCACAAGACTTTTGACCTCCTCCATTACTTCTGTAGATAACCTTGCTATTGTAAAGGCTAAGATTGGTCTTTGAAGTATTTTTCATACTCTGCATTCTAGGGGGTGGGAGCACTGACACCAACTGGCCTGTGGATGGGCATGGGAACAGATCCAGCAGCTTTGAGACTCCCCACTTCAGGAAATCTCCCAATTGAGAGAATAATCTCTATGTGTTCATCCCCCTAATAAGTAGACCCAATTGCCTATCCTTTTGCCCACTAATCTATCATTAAAAACCCTTTCTGCCAAATTTATGAGGAGATAGATTTGAGGAATTATACTCCCATCTCCTCATCTGGTACCTTTTGAAATAAAATTCTCCACTGCAACACCTACTATTGTTACCAGTCAAAGAGGGTCTGGCCATCTGTCACTGTCAGCCAAATGCAGGGATGGGGATTAGGTCCAACAAGCTTTATTGTTAGAGAGCCAGCAATCTGGAGAACAACAACAGTAACCTCTCCAAATCTGTTCTGCTCTTTCATTCCCTAAAACCACAGTTTTGTTTTGTTTTTGAGACAGAGTCTCAAGCTGTCACCCTGGGTAGAGTGCTGTGGTGTTATAGCTTACAATAACCTCCAACTCTTGGGGTCAAGTGATCCTCTTGCCTCAGTTTTTCTATTTTTTAGCAGAGACAGGGTCTTGCTTTTTGCTCAGGCTGGTCTTGAACTGATGAGCTCACAATCCACCCACCTCAGTCTTCCAGAGTGCTAGGATTACAGGTGTGAGCCACCACCCCCAGCAAAACCACAGTTTTATATACAAATGTTCAAAGCAAAAACTATATTGGCCTTTATCGTAAGCAATAACAAACAATAATCTATACAACCCAACATTTTCTGATTCAAAAGTTAGTCTCCTCAATCAATTGTCCTAAACTATTCAAGATACACATCTTTCACAGTTGAAGCTAAATCTATAAAATAACACGAATGGAAGACATGAGGTGAAGGTAGGACCTAAACCAACTAGATCAGCTGTGTCATCTGGACTTAGCCTGAACAACTCCATTTAGTCTCACTACATGTGCTGTCATTGTCAGTATCTTGTCTTTCAATGGGCTTTGGGCAAGGGAACCAGTTGGGCTATTAACAAGTACCTTCATCATATTTATGCCAAGTCTGCACCATTTCCTTTATTTGAATTTCTGAACTTTAATCAGAATAATTTCCACCTTTTAATCAGACTCTGCTCCAATCCACATTTGCCATAAGGGCTTTGTTATCCTTCTGAGGCAGCATCACAAGTTGAATATCTGGGGGCAATGGCTGTGTGGCAATGTTTAGACACCTGAATATTATACAGCAGAGGAGGGCAAAACAAAAAGGAAATCTTAAATACTTTTAAACATATTTGAAACACATTTCTTAGCCTACTTATTGGCCTAAATGTAATCAGAATAAGTAGTCTCACAGATTAGTCAAGTTTAGCTAATAAAGTGGCGTTCTTTCTCAATTGATTATTTAACTTGTCCTGTAATGTAAACCCTGGTGTAAAAAATGTGCTAGCAGTTGCACAGGCCTCATTTTTGTAGATCAGTATCTAGTTGATGACTGTTCTAGCCAATGAATTTATGGTAGTCTATGGGGCCTCTAAGGTTTGAAATGCTTTAGTTTGCTATTTAAATAATAGTTGAATTATGAATCACCTAGCCAAGGTGAAATGTTTTTGTACAAACCAGTGAAATTCAGTGTCTTTGATCCCTTTGGGTAAGTAAACATGTTGGTCTCTCAGTAGAGGAGAATAACTTAAGGGCTTTGTTTTTAATACCTAGAAAAGCTAGATAAATTTAATCATTGGAAATTGTCAGTGAAGGGAAAAATATTAACATAAAAGGAAAGAGGAGAGAAAAGGAGGAAGAGACAATAAAATATAAGAACAAATCTAAGTCTGTTGCCCTAATCATGGTTCTCAACTTAAAGGTCGTGGGAGGAAGATGTATATAACCAGTATCATTTTTTATCAGTAAAATATCAGGAGACTATCTACTTCTTTTTTTTTTTGAGACAGAGCCTTAAGCTGAGCCCCTGGGTAGAGTGCCATGGCTTCACTGCTCACAGCAACCTCCAACTCCTGGGCTCAAGCAAGTCTCCTGCCTCAGCCTCCCAAGTAGCTGGGA